TAGAGGTGTGCTCAGATCAATTTCTGGTAAGCCAATGGCTTACTATATCTATTGCTCTGGATTATTATAATATACATAATTCTTTTGTACGTGTTTGTCACTGAACTCTTCCTAAACGCTTGAACCGATTTTGATGAATTTTTTTGTGCGTTAGAGCCACTCGGCCAACTGGATGGTTTAGATTCACAATTGCACCCGGTAGCAATGTTCAAATCACCCGTGCGATGCCAGAACGGATCGCTAGTTATATATATATTTCTAATAAGTAGTTACGAGAGTTTATACAATTGTGACATGCAACTTATGGTTGATATGTACGGCGTAATTTCCATTACTTTCATAAAAACCACATGGTAATATTATAAATATAAAACTTAATAATTTGCGTTAAAGCTATTGGAAAAAAAAAACTATTTTGTATGCGCTCTTGTGGGACAAGTTAAATTAGTTGCAGGCGAGTGTATATGGATAAATAATTTATCACAGTTCAAAAGTTTTCACTAGTCAATATGTTAGTAATAAGCCTCGAAATCATAGACTAAATACAGATAAATATATTGTGATATTTCTGGTGATCCCCAGTATCTAGATATAAGTTGGTTTTGAACCAAATAACTTTCAGTGTTAAAAATAATATGTAGGGTTTGCGCGGTGTAATTTGAAATGTTTCAGAGATTATGTGGGTATAAATTTTGAATGCGCCCTATTGTCATTGAAAATGATATGTTAAAGAAAGTAAGTGTATTTCTAGAGAAAACAAAACAGAAAATATAAACACAAGGTAATTGTGATAAATATAATGCATACTTTTTTACTGTTTTCGTATTGAATTGTAAATAAGTCTTAAAGCCACATTATATAAGATATATGTTTTTTACATAGCACCAGATAAGTATTGTGGATTATATGAAATAAATTGTAATTTTATATAATTTAAGTATTTGTTTTCTTTGTACATCCATTTTTATATTTTCACTCTTTACTTATATCCCATTTGTATAATTCCTCTCATTTAACAATTTAAAAAATATTTTCAAGTTGTCCGTTTGTGCAGATGTGCACTGCGTGAATAGATTCTTTGCGAATTAAATAACAATTGGTATCCAGGATGGTGTTTTTGACAAGTTTTTGTCACGTCAGTTAAAAATAATCTCCAAGTGAAAAGTGCGACATAAATTACTTTTAAATAGGTACGGGTGCTTAAAAAAAATTTGAAATAACCTTTTTTTAATATATATAATTATGTAAGACTTAGCAATGTAGCATATTGTTGTTCCAATATCAAGTAATTATATAAATTTATGGTAAAAAAGTAGGTTTCATTATTAAAAGAAGGAAGTGAATGGGAAAGATTAAAAGACTATGTAAAAAGCTTAATCTAATTTTTATTTGTCGGTTTGACGTACAGACGTAAGGCATCCTTCCATCTCAAATATTGGCACACAGAACCATCGTTACAATACAATCGACTAAAACTCATTATCTGAGCACTATATCACTTCGGACCACAAACAAAATGGAATGTAATGTGTTCACAAAGGATAGTGGAATGCCCTAATGTAATATACAATAACTCAGAGCTATCCAATTGTTACACCACTAGAACCAGCCTGATACTAATATTAAATAAACATTCAAGACTAGAGTTCTTAAGTAAACACGCCGTGAATCTCGAAATATATATTTATAACGTAACAATATGATGCATCAACGCAAAAACAAAAATACAAATTTGTGACTGTAACATCTGAAACTTACTATAACGGGAGATTCTTAAAATAATTTGGTTAGGATTTGGTTTGTGCTAGGTTTTAAAATCAAAGTTCGATAATAAACACTGGACGATGTTGGCACGGACAGAAATAAAAGGAAATAGTAATACATACAACATAATATAGAGGTTCGTCAAACTGTAGCGGATCGCACGCAGGATATGAACACACTTTAGAACAATTTGCTAAGTCATTCAAGCTAATGCGGGAACATTAGGATTTGGGAATTGTTAGGAAGTGTTTATGAATTTTAATTTAATCGTGACAAAATTTAGAAAATGATAAAAAAAATATAATTCATTTGAATATAATGTCCGAAGTAAGTAGCTAATTGCGCCCATTAAGTTGCCGATGAATTTTTGACAAAAGCGATTCGCATCCTGCATCCATTTAGAAATACGCTTCGGTTTGAAAATAAAAACATTAATAGAGAAAAGGTTCACATTTATATATAATATGTACACATTGAATATCAAATACTGTATGAAATACTGCTAAATTCACGACGATTTTTAAATATAAATTAACCGTATAATAAAAAAAATGGACGCAAATCAATTTACACTTATTGCACAAAATAAAATTAACTTAAAAAAAAAAGAAGGAAAAAACCACAACACTTTCAGCGCGATACTGGCCAAACCTCGTTTTAAATTATAAAAAAAAATCCTTTGAATCTGCAAATCCTTGACAAAATCTCAAATGACCATTCCAGGTAAACATTAGGCACTGGTTTTTGCTAATAATATCAAAGCTAATTTCAATATTCAAACTTTAGGTATACAACTTACACGAATAATTAACGCTTTTGGTATATTTAAGCACTTCGACACATATATCCCCTCCTCCGAACAGAAAAATAAAGTTCATAATGGTTACAATAGATAAAATAATCCAGTGTTTTCTGATAGAGGAAGTGTTATATCCAATATAATCCAATACAATATCATCTTTAGCAGGATATGCAATAATGTTTTGCAAAATTCCGACTAGTTATCAATTTACCTAATTTACGTTTCACTGTGGGATATACAAAAGCTCCTTATGTACTACATTCGTCTATAGTAATGATATTTTTAGTAAAAAATATCTATTATATTGATCTTTGTACAAAACACGTATAGCTCTTTTTATGTGTAGACAATATATTATATGATTGTTAATTTAAATATACACACCATGATTACACTGTTACTAAATTCATTGATATATGAAAAACTTAAAAATATATTTGTACTATTTATAATAAAATAAATGCCAGTTAAATAAAACATAAGCTTTTAAACGGCTATATACATTTGTACAGATATCGCATTTGTGCCAAGTCTCGTCACTTGTTACACTCTGAATACCCAATCAGTATCAGCTCTTAATGACTTCGAAGTTAGAAACTATAATTATAAATACAGTATTTTCATAACAGAGTTATTACCGAAAGAGTATGGAAGCTAGTTCTCGCTTAGAAGAAAAAAAATACTTATTATGCTTTGTTTCATATATATATAGGTGATTATTGTTTTATGCATTTTCATTAATAAATTCTAAGTTTAAACTTCTGATAAGATTGCCTTTTTTATAAAATCTCTATTAGAATATTGCGACTTAATTAAGTTTTTGTAAAAGTATACTCTCCTACTGTGTGGGTAATATCTTTAAATTCTATAATAAGTACAAAGGTAATATTTTACAACCTTCCATAATCTAAAATCTATTGCCAATTTCACATAGCCTATAAAATGGCAACACAGAAAACATTCAAACATACTCTAACACTGATTACACACCCAAGACGAGTATATCCCAGTTTCATATTCATAAGTTTTATGTTACGGATATTAATAATTTATAAACAGAAATAAATCTTGCATCTAAATACAATAAAATATTTACATGTTTTATATTTCCATTATTTTCAGTGCTATTTTGGACTGTCTAAGGAACTTTCTTCAAATTGTAAACTTTAAACTTAATTTTACAATTGTTTTCAATAAGCAGTGGAGAAGTTATTTATGAGTATTAACTGTAAAAATATATTTGTTTTCTTCAATAGCTTTTGTTAGTCCTAATTGATACATGTTTTTGTTTATTTATTTATTCAAAATAAATATCCTTCAAATTATTTGTTTGATCGCAAATATTCATAAATTTATTTTAAGAAAAACAAAAATTACTGTTGTTATTCCAGTTTTTACAACCATTATTTATGTTAATTTGAACCTTTATAAGTTGTTTTTACAAAATATACAAACTACGCTACATAACAAATAATGAACACAATTGCTCTATAAAAAGCTCTTTTTATCCCTAAACTGAGGCTAAGTGACATAGTAAAATTAAAATAAACAAATAGCTCGGATTCAGTCCCAGGTTTATCCATGTATTTGAAATTATTATAAAATTCAGTGAATGTTCGAAAATAGAATGCAGTACCTAAACTATATTTTTACTTCACTTTTCATATTTATCAGCCAGCCTTGACACTGCTCGGTATTTCACATCCATTTATCCACCACATATGTAAAAGTTTCAATGATGGTGCTTAATTATTTGTACATACAAGTTATTTTAATGTTTGACAATTTGGGGTATATTCAATTGTTCAAATAATAAACACAACCAATGACTTGATAACCAGATCTACGTAATACTATTCAATTTATTAGATCTAGGTGTCAATTTGTGCATGTAAATTTCAGAAAATAAATAATCTATATTGCTTTTGAATATAAATGTTGTATAATATAATATGAGAATTAATTTCAGTAATACAAATGGCACCCCTATGCTAAAATAATTTATAATTTCACTCAAGTAAATTGGAATGTTAAGATCATAAATTCTTAATAAAAATACTTAACAGATGTTTGCATTCCCCAAGGTTTTAATATGTTTATAAAATTACTAAAAGCTTAGTAACGGTTTTATGACATTCTGGACTTTGGATTTATGTAACTACTAACGATGCATGCAACCACAGATTAAAATAAACGTAACACAAAGTCACAAGCTTTAAAATGGCAACGAAAGCACTCGGTGTTTATTATTTTCGAAAATAAATTGTACTTCATTACAAGTCTCATACCCGAAGATGCTCTAAGATTGATGACACTTTGTTCTGTCGGCACTGAACCTTGGAAAATATTTTTAAGTGCAATTGTTCGACGTCTATTATGTGATATACATACTTCGTGATCATACAAGATAGTCGTCGAACTTTTTAAGCCTTCGCTACGAATGTCTCGACGGCCTGCGTTCAGGTGTCGGTCCCTCCATTGTTTCTGGACTGAATCTGACTCTAGATTGAGAGCCACTCGAGGCGTCCCTAGCGGAAACGTACGAACTATCAGTCTCGCTTGTCAAACTATCAGGCGGAGTAGGATTCGTAGGTGTACCCCCTCCAGAACTGCCGCCAGATGCACTAGATTTTTTATATTTCTTCAAACTAGATCTTAACTTGGTCGATGCTAACTCCAGACCAAGGTTAGCCGGCCGTTCCAGCTCTGCTCTTTCTTGAGATTCTTGTCTGTAGTAGTCCCTCGGCAAAGAATAATCACTAGACTTCCTCGGGTACTCTGTCTTTGGAGTTCTGTATTCGTCTCGCCTGTCCTTTGTATACTTCTCTGTTCGAAATTGCCTAGAGGGAGAGAACTCTTCCGGATGCGAATTTGAAACAGAGGAGTTAGAAGGGGTTCTCCGATGAGTGAGATATGGAACTGTAGGTCTATAATCCGGGGTAGGTTCTCTGTACTCGAAGGAGCACTCGTCGTAGCCATAGTACGGGTGTTTGACAACATAATCGGCTGTTCTCTCGTAAGAATAAGGTTCGGCTCGATAGTAATAGTCTTGTATCCGGTCCTGGGATGCAGACGGTTGAAAGTTTTCTCTGTAGTTGTGGTAGAGGTCGGCAAGGTGGTCAGAAGTGGAGGAGGAGGTCCTCCGGGGCGAGGGTGTGGGGGGTTGTGTTCCGGTATAGGCGGTGCCGAGGCCTGAAGTTCCGGTGTAGGCGGTTCCTAGGCCGGAAGTTCCGGTGTAAGCGGTGTTGAGGCCGGAAGTAGCGGACAACGGTGCGGCCGAGTGGCCACAGCCGGACGACGAAGACGCATGCGCGTAATGAGTGGGAGAATCCGTGAACCGCATCGGCTTCTGCTCCTCTGCTTGTAGACTAGATAGCTGAAATGTTCAAGCAAGCCTTTAGTTATGTTTCAACTTGATTTTTATTTTTTTTTTAAATTGCATGCCTTAAGCGAAAGCGCAAGGTATGTTCTATCGCCTAAAAAATTAAGATTCCAACGTTTTATCGAATAAAATCGTATCTAGCAATCATATTATAAATATAAATGATATAAAAAGCACATTGTTAGAAAGATAAATGATTGTTGAACTTATTAATATTTTTTTTAAATAGATTAATTGATATTTTTAAATAAAAAAAAGGGTTTTAGTGGCTTATGGTGTGGATTTATCGTGGTCCCCAAGGCTTGTAAACACGATATGTTTTGAAAATATCAATTGTTTAACTCAATCTATTTTTTAATCTCTTTATCTATCATGTGGGAACCCACTGAATTTAAATGGCAGTGTAATTTTGTTTTCTTTAGCTATAATTAATTTTTTTCGGCTCTAAAATGGCTAAATTTTCGTTGATTTGGTAGCCTTCTATGTAAATTATTTCTGTAAATCGGAAGCTACAGCCACAGAGTAGTTTACTCACTCACTCAGTTGGGCTAGCTTGCTACATATTTATTTATCTATGGTTCGGCGTCAGTCGCCGTCGTGAGTGGACATTGTTTCGGTTGTTTGCAGCGGCTCAAAAAGATCGCTGTACAAATAGACAATATTCGAATAACCAAATTTCTTAAATACTTGATTATAATAATAATAAGAGATTTTTTAAACAATATTTTAAAAGCACAGAATAAATAATAGTAGTACGTACTAAAAGAACATTAAACGTACATTAAAAGAAAAGGGAATGAAAGTGAACGCAAGTAAGACGAAAGTTATGATTTTTGAAAGAGAAGAAAGTAAAACGATATGTGAAATAAGAATAGAAGGGGAGTTGGTAGAGCAAGTAGATGAGTTTGTATATTTGGGATGTGTGTTTAGCAGGGATGGTAGATATGATAAGGATATAGAACGACGAGTGAATGCAGGAAATAGAGTTAATGGGACTCTACACTCTATTGTGAAAAGTCAAAATGTGTCCAAAAAGGCACGTATGGCAATTCACAATGCTGTGTTAGTACCTACTTTAATGTATGGTAGTGAAAGTTGGGTGTGGCAGAAGAAGCAAGAGAGTAGAATAAATGCTGTAGAAATGCGGTCATTAAGGAGTATGTTAGGGATGAATCTGAATGACAGAGTGAGAAATTGTTTAATAAGAGAAGAGTGTGGTTTGCAAGATGATGTTGTGACCAGGATTAAGAAAGGAATGCTTCGGTGGTTTGGCCATGTAGAAAGAATGAATGAGGAAAGAGTGACAAAGCAAATTTATGTTGCAGAGGTGAACGGTATAGTCGGGAAGGATCGCCCTAGGCGAAAGTTTATCGACCAAATTGGCGATATATTAAAAATGGGCCAAATCAAGAGTACCTTTAACCGACGAGCGTGTATGCGTAGGTATATGGATGTGGAGGAAGCAAGAGAGGTGTGTCAGGATCGTGCCAAATGGAAGTCCATAATCTCTGCCTACCCCTCTGGGTGACAGGCGTGAGTGTTTATGTTATGTTATGTTACGTACTAAAAGTAACTAGTACCAATTTTTTTTGTCATGGGTGACATTTTCATGGTTTTCGAGGGTGTTGAAACCGATAGGGTTGTTGAAATGTAAATCCAAGATGGCGGCCACAATAGGTATCAATTTTCTCATCATGGGTGTCATTTTCATGGTTTTCGAGGGTGCTGAAGCCAATAGTACTGTCGAAATGTAAATCCAAGATGGCGGCTGCAATAGGTATAAATTTTTTCATCATGGGTGTCATTTTCATGGTTTTCGAGGGTGTTGAAGCCGATAGTGCTGTCGAAATGTAAATCCAAGATGGCGGCTGCAATAGGTATCAATTTTTTCATCATGGGTGTCATTTTCATGGGTTTCGAGGGTGTTGAAGCCGAAAGTGCTGTCGAAATGTAAATACAGGATAGCGGCTGAATTAGGTACCAATTTTTTCATCATGGGTGTCATTTTCATGGTTTTCGAGGGTGTTGAAGCCGATAGTGCTTTCGAAATTTAAATCCAAGATGGCGGCCGTAATAGATATCAATTTTTTCATCATGGGTGTCATTCTCATGGTTTTCGAGAGAGTTGAAGCCGATAGTGCTGTCGAAATGTAAATCCCAGGTGGCGGCTGCAATAGGTATAAATTTTTTCATCATGGGTGTCATTTTCATGGTTTTCGAGGGTGTTGAAGCCGAAAGTGCTGTCGAAATGTAAGTACAGGATGGCGGCTGAATTTTTGGTGTTGAAGCCGATAGTGCTGTCGAAATGTAAATCCAAGATGGCGGCTGAATTAGGTACCAATTTTTTCATCTTGGGTGTCATTTTCATGGTTTTCGAGGGTGTTAAAGCCGATAGTGCTGTCGAAATGTAAATCCAAGATGGCGGCTGCAATAGGTATCAATTTTTTCATCATGGGTGTCATTTTCATGGGTTTCGAGGGTGTTGAAGCCGAAAGTGCTGTCGAAATGTAAATACAGGATAGCGGCTGAATTAGGTACCAATTTTTTCATCATGGGTGTCATTTTCATGGTTTTCGAGGGTGTTGAAGCCGATAGTGCTTTCGAAATTTAAATCCAAGATGGCGGCCGTAATAGATATCAATTTTTTCATCATGGGTGTCATTCTCATGGTTTTCGAGAGAGTTGAAGCCGATAGTGCTGTCGAAATGTAAATCCCAGGTGGCGGCTGCAATAGGTATAAATTTTTTCATCATGGGTGTCATTTTCATGGTTTTCGAGGGTGTTGAAGCCGAAAGTGCTGTCGAAATGTAAGTACAGGATGGCGGCTGAATTAGGTACCAATTTTTTCATCATGGGTGTCATTTTCATGGTTTTCGAGGGTGTTGAAGCCGATAGTGCTGTCGAAATGTAAATCCAAGATGGCGGCTGAAGTAGGTACCAATTTTTTCATCATGGGTGTTATTTTCATGGTTTTCGCGGGTGTTGAAACCGATAGTGCTGTCGAAATGTAAATCTAAGATGGCGGCTGAATCAATGGAGCCCCCATATATCAAAACTAGCAAGCAGACTTAGTTCTGCAGCATATGCTGTAAAAAAGATTAGAAGTCTAACCAGTGTTGAAACAGCTAGACTAGTTTACTTCAGCTACTTCCATAGCATAATGTCGTATGGTATTTTGCTATGGGGACACGCAGCTGACACTGAAATTATATTTGTTTTGCAGAAGAGGGCCATAAGAGCAATTTATGACTTAAAGCCTAAAGAGTCGCTGCGACAAAAATTTAAGGAAATTAATATATTAACTTTGGCCTCTCAATACATTTATGAAAATGTAATGTACGTACACAAAAATAAAAGTAGTTTTACAAAAATAAGTGATATTCATTCTGTAAATACTAGGAACAGACACAAGCTAGTAGTACCAGTTACTCGACTCCATCGAGTCAGTAATTCATTCTTGGGGCGATGTATACGCTTTTACAACAAAATTCCAGAAAATATACAAAGTTTGACCTGTTCAAAGTTCAAAAACTTTATTAAACTAAGTTTGTATAAAAAGGGTTATTATAATATTAAGGAATTTATGGATGATAATAACCCCTGGAAATGAGGTGATCGCTACCAAGCTATTTCTAATTTGTTGTGTTGTTAATTTGTGTAACATCATGATTGTAAGCTGTTATTTAAAAAAAAAAGTCCCGCTGGGTTTCTTGCTGGTTCTTCCCAGGACAGAGGTTTTCTCCGAACCAGTGGTAATCAAACAAAAGAGTGACTTTAAATAAGTATTATTTATAATCTATATTGAATAAAAAAGTTTCTGTCTCTGTTTCTGTTAGGTACCAATTTTTTTCATCATGGGTGTCATTTTCATGGTTTTCGAGGGTGTTGAAGCCGATAGTGCTGTCGAAATGTAAATCCAAGATGGCGGCTGAAGTAGGTACCAATTTTTTCATCATGGGTGTTATTTTCATGGTTTTCGAGGGTGTTGAAGCCGATAGTGCTTTCGAAATGTAAATCCAAGATGGCGGCTGCAATAGATATCAATTTTTTCATCATGGGTGTCATTTTAATGGTTCTCGAGGGTGTTGAAGCCGATAGTGCTGTTGAAATGTAAATCCAAGATGGCGGCTGCAATAGATATTAATTTTTTCATCATGGGTGTCATTCTCATGGTTTTCGCGGGTGTTGAAGCCGATAGTGCTTTCGAAATGTAAATCCAAGATGGCGGCTGAAGTGGGTACCAATTTTTTCATCATGGGTGTCATTTTTATGGTTTTCGAAGGTGTTGAAGCCGAAGCCGATCAACGGGGCCAACTCGGACTGGTTTGGCATCCATAAAGGTGTCATACAGGGCTTTGTGGCTTCCCCGTGGTTGTTCAACCTATTTATGGACAGTTGTTTGGAAAATTTGAAAGTAGAAGAATGCGGGTTAAGAATGTGTGATTTAACCGTCAAATGCCTTTTGTACGCCGATGATCAAGTCCTACTTGCGTCGTCGGCAGCCGAGTTGCAAATGATGGTTACATTAATGAACAGGACATTAAAAGAAAAGGGAATGAATGTGAACGCAAGTAAGACGAAAGTTATGGTTTTTGAAAGAGAAGAAAGTAAAACGATATGTGAAATAAGAATAGAAGGGGAGTTGATAGAGCAAGTAGATGAGTTTGTATATTTGGGATGTGTGTTTAGCAGGGATGGTAGATATGATAAGGATATAGAACGACGAGCAAATGCAGGAAATAGAGTGAATGGGGCTCTACACTCTATTGAAGCCGATAGGGTTGTCGAAATGTAAATCCATGATGGCGACTGCAATAGATATCAATTTTTTCATCATGGGTGTTATTTTCATGGTTTTCGAGGGTGCTGAAGCCGATAGTGCTGTCGAAATGTATTTAAACTACTTAAAAAAATTCCGTATAATCATAATAATATCAATCATATACGTAATTTTTTTAATGCGCTTAAGGCATGCCCAATTGGATTTACCAATATATATTTTACCATGTTTTCACACAAAATTTGCAATTTGCGATTTTAAACAACTTCCCGATGAGCTAGACTTGTAATTTTACACATATTTCAGATCTGGAAACATGGTAAAAAAATAGTAGCTATTTTAATTTGTTTTTGCGTTTTAACTTCAGTGATGATGATGTCAACTCCCCGATTCTATTAAGAAACAAAGGTTATATAAAAACTAATTTATTTACTACCTAACATTTAACACACTCATATTGAAATAGAAACATTAAAGTAAAATACTTACAGGAGACCCGGTGATGGCATTCAATGGAGCTCGCAGATGCCTCGTTGGACCGTGATAGGTGTTATGAGCGTATCCATAGCCCTCGTACAGAGACGAGGCCAATGGTTCTGTTTCTACTTCAGATCTGGAAAAAATTATATAGAAGATTGGACACATCATCAAGCTGTGACGAGCTTAGGTGGTTCCCATTATCCATTCTGGTTAATATGGCACCAGATTGGCAGACTAGCACAGATTTAGCAATTTTTATGGTTATTTATATTCACCATTCGGTTAGCAAACGAGCAGCACACAGTTCAGCTAATGATAAGTGGATGCTGTGGCCTATAGACATCTACATCTGTCCTCGATAAAGAATCGAAATGCAGTTGTCACCCCTGATGGCTAAGATGGAATGCCGCGTTTCCACGACCATGTTTCAGATCCATATGTGGCATCCCTGTCAACAAAACATGTATATGTATTAAAGATCCTCACCTGTGGGGTTGTAAAGTGGGATGCAGTGGGCTGACATTTGATACCCTCACGTCATAACCGGCCGCCACACCACCAAGCAGTGCCGCCATGTTGTACAGCACCAGCTCAATGATACTCGGCTTCTTGAATTTGTACCCTGAAACAATAGTCATAAAGTATAATTGTCGTCTTTTGCCGGTAATAATATAACTGATTCTGTTACCGTTACAGCCTATTAAAGCCCACTGTTGAACATAGGCCGCCCCGTAGGTTGTCTCATAGGTGAGATATTTGCCATAGTTGCCACGCTTACCGTGTAGTGGCGGTGTAAGAATATCCACTACCCCATATCAACCCGTGGGTATCGTAAGAGGCGACATAAGTAAACAAATCAGGAGATGGACAGCAACCTCTTCCTAATAACGACTAAAAATAAAAAAACTGCGGTTGCAAAGAGTGGCAATTATGGCAAATATCCCCCCTATTAGGCAATCTATGGGGACTTTAATAGGCTGTAACGGTTGTATTTGCCGTGTAGTGGCGGTGTAAGAATATCCACTAGCCAAAATACCCGTGGGAGTCGTAAGAGGCGCCAGTAAGAAGCTGAACTATGGGATGGGCAGCAGCATCTTCCTGTTACCAACTGATTAAAATTAACAATCTTCCGTTGCCAACCCACTTGTCCATCTTAACAACTATGGTAAATATCCCCCCGATGAGGCAATCTATGGGGGACACCTATGTTCAGCAGTGGCCTTTTGATAGGCTGTTGTGATAGTGGTGATGGTATGGTGGTGGTTGTATTTATATAAAAATATAATACAATATCTTACCTTCAGTACTATACAGTGTTGGCATCGGTATGGTATATCTGGAAGATGTGCTTAAAGGGAACTCTGGGCCCCAGTCGTCTGGACTGAAGTCTGTATAAGGAAGAAAACAACCTTGAATAGAAAACATAGGTATATTAGTTGCTTCAACTGCGTTTAAAGTGTGAAAGAGACAGAATTAGACAATTTACAAATGAGCTGTTAATGTAGGTATCTCAGGTTGAAATGAATTTGTTTGATCAAACAAACAATCAGCCAGAAAGCGAAATTTAAAACATTTTTGGATTGAGTTGTATAACTTTTTCATTACACCGAATATCACATTGCAATTGTTATTACAGTTATTTTATAAAGTTTATGCAAACTTATTGAACAAATATAAACAAAATTTAGTTTAGAGTATAGACTTTAGAAATGGCTCTCTCGTAAGCCAATTTTTAAATTACAATCAAAGATCATAAGAGTTTAGCATATTAATCTTTTAGTATTTATTATTTTATGTTGATAAACATACTGCTTTACAATTTAGTTTCCTGGGCACAACAATTCATGTCACATTAACAAAATACATACATATGATGTAGAAAATAAGAATTAAAATCTTTAGAAGAGCTCACTAAGGAAATTGGAGAAGAGAAACTCTTGTATTTATAACTGATTGAAATATTTAAGATGTGAAATATTGCCTTCTCTAAAATCATTAGTGAGCTTCAGACCCACAAATGCATGCAAACATTTGCGTGACCTAAGGGACTACACATGCCAAACAGTTCATTCGAGGAAAGCAACATAAGAAGCGAAACAAAATGTGAATATATTATGAACAATCTAATATACTTACATGTGCAAATTAAACTCGACATGTCACTTTGTCTCGTACACGAAATCTCATAACTTTGTTAATATAGAAATTGTTATGACGGAGGGTATTCCAGTTCTTTTCGCCTTTCCCGATTAGAGGTAGCCTGAGTGAGATAAGCGGAAGCTGATTTTTTTTTAATTCACATCTCTTTAATTGGATTCACCCTTCACCAATATTTTTAATCTGTATTTTTATCTATATCGGTGAACAATATAAATAAATCACTATGGCTCGTATTATTTTTTTTAATTCTGAAATGTTACAGGGTTTGTTAGTAGCTAATTTATTAGTAGACCCATGTTAAAAGAATACACCAGCGTTGATTTTATGGAAAAGGTTTATTTGATATATAAAAAAAGTACTAATTATATAATTATAAAGAACCAGATCACCAAAGAGTTTCAATTATTTTCCATAATTTATAATAACTAATGTCGAACGAATTTCGGGCTAATTGTCGTCTCGTTTTTATAAAGAAATCAGCTTCAATCGACACAGTATGAGCCTCTCGTATATCGTAAGTCCACCACCACAGGAACATTGTTACGGCCAAATGTTACAGCGGAATCTTTTGTACTAATTAACACTCCGAACTACTATCTAGTTTTGGAAGCCTATGTGATTTGACTTAAATTATCATCATATCGGGTTCATACGGGACCACTATGAAAGTATATTTTACCGGTATATTAAAAAATTATGTAAATCGGTTAATAAACTTCGTATTAGATGGATAAAGTGTTAATTAAAAAAAAAGTTTAAAATCACGTAGACTTCCAAATACACGTAATTAGAGTCATTGTAAACATTTGAAAGCGTGCCATATGACATGGTGATATAGAACGAAGCATATCATACAAACTAACGAATAATGTAAGTACGGACAAATACATATATAATTATAATTTCTTATATTTTACCGTAAATAGCGTATATCTATGAACTGCTAAGCATGCATAGCTCTTAATGATAACGTACAAACAAATAGGCTGAAAGCAAACAAATGCTTACAATTTACAAAAAATTAAAAAAAAAAAACTGTCTAAAATGAATACTTAAAAATTACGAAATGAGGATTAAGTTACGATTGACATTTTGGAGAAAAAAAAACTAGGTATATAAAGCACACGCACACACATTTTCGGCGTTAACACACGACAACTTTCTTTATCGGAAAATACTAAAAACTATAGTCAATAACTTATTCAACTACTTTCCCTAATGTCTGCCACAATTAAAAGATAATTGAACACAAAGACAGGAAGATTATTTGTGACATAAACATTGTAAATGCTTTTAGAGAATTACTGACATTGTTAATCTAGATACCATTTTTTTTCGTACAGATCAATTTTAATAAGATAATTTTGAATTTGATACTTTATAAGATTTTATTTGTAACGCAATTAACAAATAAAAAAATTATACTCACAAGGATACAGAAGATTGTCTTGAGAAGTCCCTTTAGAGCAGCAATCAACAAAGCAAATGGCCGACATTAGAAAAATAAAACTAAATATTTTCAATAATATCAATTGAACATTTGAACAATATTCACTAGATTTCAACTCGGTGCAATAAAAAATTACTTGTGAAGAAACCGATTTTTTTTTCCTAATTTTTTAAAATTTTATTTAAGGTTTCTTGCACAAATAATTTCATTGCGTATCATTCGCATATAATTTGGCAAGATCCTAAACTTTCAGTCAGCAAGAAACTGTAATAATATGTTACGTAAGTCTTTAAGAATTCCTGTTTAATATTCCTAAAATAAACTAAAGAACCTAACATTTATTACCTAAATACGACCACACTACAATAGTAGTAGTTAATGCTGGTTAAATAACAAATAATTTATCTGTGCATAACCAAAGACGACATCTTACTACAATATTTGCAAAAAATGCATTTATTAAAAATATATCAACAATTTAATTTAGTCATTTCTTTTTCAATGAAATTAGATTTTTTGTATTCTGCATAAAATATAAATATTAAAACTACCGTTGAATGTGGCCATGCACTGGTAAAACTTAGTTATCAAATAACCTAAACAATAAGTCTTTTCTATTTTTTTTTTCAATTATCTTACAACTAACATTTTAACAACTAGTATCAAATCCTTGGAACTTAGAACGATAAGGCGTATGTACACTTAATGAATATTCACTTGTAACATTCTATTATTTTATGGCAGTCGAAAAAGATATGAAGATAAGTGGCATAAAATTTAAGAGGGCTTTACATTACAAAATCCAGATAAAATGCACGTTTTAAGAGGAATGTGTTAGTAAAAATGATATGTTTTCAATATGGCAACACATTTGTACATAACCTTGGCAGATCTGAATAATTTAAAACAGTGGTGAATGATAATTCATACCAAAATTAAATATAAAAGATCGCACTATGTCAGTTTAACATTTTGCAATTTAAACAAAAAATTTGTACATTGTTTTTATTGTTACCAGTAGCGGAGTAAAGAACTTTTACTTATAAAGCAATTTTCAAATAAATTATTCACACTTGATTCAATCTTATTTAGACAAGAAGATTGAGAAGTGGTGTTTAATTTTATTTAGTTTCTACTCGTCTCTTAATAACTCTGTGGTCTCAGACGTGAGGTTCCCCGCTACAGCCAAAAGTCCGGCTAAACTATTAGATCGTATGCTTTTGAGGAAATTTCTTTTTACTTCTCCTTGACTGCCTTTCCTTCTACCCTTTTCGACTGCATCTATATCAAAGACCGTATCATAATGATGGGGAATGTCCGCGGTGGAGGTGAACATTGGACAGAGGAAGAATCTGTTCTTCCTCGGCTCTGTGTTCTCGTAGAGAAGGTCGTCATGGCTGCCGCTCCGTTTCTTCCCCAGCTCGGACTTTGGCGTGCGCACTTGTGATTTGGATTTTCGTGGCTTTCGCTTGGTCTCCTCGATCGCGCCTATGGCTACGAGTCCTGCGGCCCGTGTCTCGTTTTATTTACTTATATATGAAATCATATTCAGTTCTCTTATCGCAATATTTCAGAGACCTAGCGACTCAACTAGTAATCATTGAAGACATAATATTGTCAATATAAAATATTATTACGATATATTAAATTTTGAAAATTACTACTTTAAAATATTGAAATATGATTAAAATTAAAACTGAATATATTTGATAAAAGCACTAAATTCATACAAAATTTATTAATTTTGATTAATAACAACATGTAGTCATCCCTGGTCACACGATTCTACTCAGTTCAGTCACGATAACAGTAGTGATGTCATTTATAGAAATGGCACATGATGGTGCATTTATACCTAATTTAATAGAAACTACTAAATGTTAAGCCACAAGAGATAATACTAAAATAAGCCATTTATTGTAAGGGTGTGTAATTATGCTTTTTTTGTTTTTTAGTAGACGCATATTAACATTGTGAGTATACATGTGATTTCTATTGTGTTTTAGTATACATATTTTGTTACAACTGAGCAGCCAGTTACATTTTTATAACCAAATGTAAGAAAATAAGAATAGGCAAAATAAAAATGAAATTTTTCATGGTTTTTGTCCTGATCAGTGCCAATTTATTAACTTCATAATTAATGATAAATGTACTTAATCTTGCTGTGTCAATTTAACATCATGTGGACTATATGCTCGTTTGGCGTTCTTACGTACAAGTTGTGTACACACAATTCACTCATCAGATGTTTTATTCACATACAAGGATGCAGAAGTCTGATGTGTGAATTGTTGACGTGTGGGAGAGGGCACATACACTTATGCGTGCATGCAGGTGTGTGTACTGTGTTCACGTGTAAGCTGCGTAGGGCTAGTCGGTGTCCTAAATATTGTATATTGGAAGCGGGCGTATGTACGTGTGTATATCTTTGGAATGCAGTGTTGCAGTATGGAGTGTGTAGAAAAATGTGCATACGTGTATGTAGTATTTGTGTGTGGTGAGTCAGTCTATTATAGTGCAGCGTTGCATTGCGGTGTACTTTTGTTGCGTGTACGCACGAGTGGCTAGCGGTGTGAGTGCGTGAATGAGTTGTGGTGTGATAAGACTACGGGTGGTGTTACGAGAGCGGGCTAGTGCGTTGGTGTTATGGGAGTGTGCATGTAGTACATGTTTACTAGCGAACGTGTGTGCGTGTATGTTATTTTATATTTAGACTGTGCTTGGTGTGAGTTTAGTCCATATTCACTAGTGTGCGTATATGAGTTGTGGTGTGTTAAAACTTTGACTGGGTTTGGGGGGCGGACTAATACGTGTATGTGTGTGCATATGAATAGCGGTGTGGTTATGTGTGCATGTTCACTAGTGCGCGTGTATGTGTTGTGGTGTGTTAAGACTGCGATTGGTGTTGAGGGGGCGTGTTAGTGTGTGTTTGTTGCGAGGTATTCGCGTGCGGCTAATGGTGTGCGTATGTGTGCATGTATTGTAGCGCATGTGTAACAGTGAGCGTGTGTGAGTGTCAGGCGGGTATACTGGTGGTGTGGGTTTGAGCATATAGTTCATGTGTGTGTGCGAGTACATGTTTAGTAGTGCATGAGTGCGGGCGCGGGCTCGTGGGCGGTGCGCGTACCTGGGTGCGGCAGGCGCGCGGCGCGCGGCTGCGGCGCGAGGTGCGGCGGCAGGTGCGGCGCGGAGCAGGACGGGCGCGCGGCGCGCGGCCGCAGCGCCGGCAGCGGCAGGTGCGCGCGCGCCCGCTGGTGCCCCGTCGACGGGCCCCACGTCTTGCCCTTCACGCCGTCCGCCGGCACTGGAATTGTTATTGTTTTTTATTTATCACTCGCACCCTGACCATTTTTGCCAGGGTTGACCAATTTTTTGGTAGATATATCTGTCTACATTGAAATACTTTTTAGCTTTATTAAAATTCTTTATAGTTAATAAACATCTGTTTTATGCTTTAAATAAAGCTAAAATTTGATTTCTACGTATGTAGCGTCAAGTTGCAAGATATTGTGGCCTATCAAGAATGAGTCAGCCCAGCTCGATTACACTATCACATAAAAACCAGAGATAATTTACTGATAATATCCGCAAAACTAACCTGTATAAAAATTTACTTACAACGAAAAACCAACAAAGTTCTTAATACAAAGTCGAAAAATTTAAATTATGTAATATAGTAAAATGACTTCTTTATATTCGTTGATGAAAACTAATAATAACATTTTCATGCACAAATAGTTAGTAAGAGAGTAAAGTATATTACAAAAAAAAAATGGCTCGAAGGACCAACAAACACACACAATATATTCAAAGAAAATACTGTTTTATTTTTGCGCGAGCATCTTAGCTATTAATTTACTCATCGTCAATAATAGCTTTAATTACATTTAAAATAGCGCTTAAATTTAAAAACTTAAAAAGTAAAAACTGATTGTTCAAATCATACAAACATCAAAAAATAGCATACGTAAAACTAAAAATATGAACCCATTTGTCGTATCTCCTCAGTTTCAAGGCACTCCCCTTACTGCCTCAGCTAGCATCAGAATCCTCGGCGTCGACATATCGAATACTGTGCAGTTTCGTGATCACTTGGAAGGAAAGGCCAAATTGGCCTCTAAAAAGCTTGGCGTGGCTCAGCAGAGCGAAACAGTATTTCATGCCAGCGCATCGCTTGCAACTTTACAAAGCGCAAATCCGACCTCACGTGGAATACTGTTCTCATCTCTGGGCCGGGGCACCCCAGTGCCAGCTCCTTCCACTTGACCGCATCCAGCACAGAGCGGTTCGAATCGTCGACGACCGAGTTCTTTCTGATCGGCTCGATACACCGGCACTACGTAGGGATGTTGCATCCCTTTGCATTTTCTATCGAATTTACCAGGGGGAGTGCTCTGAGGAATTGTTCGAATTAATTCCAGCCGCCAAATTTCACGAACGCACATCACGTCAAAATTCACGATACCATCTTCACCATCTGGATGCTTGGCGGTACACGACTGTGCGTTTTACTAGGAGTTTTCTTCCTCGTACAACTTCTCTTTGGAATTGTTTACCACCGGCGATTTTTCCGGTCCGATACGACTTAGGGATCTTCAAGAAAAGAGCTCACACCTTTCTAAAAGGCCGGCAACGCATCTGCAATTCCGTTGGTGTTGCGGTTGTTCGTGGGCGGCAGTAGTCGCTTACCATCAGGTGAGCCACATGCTTGTTTGCCCCCTCTTCTATAAAAAAAAATAAAATAAAATAAAAATATGAACCAATGAAAATATATACAATTAGCAGATGCGTCTGATTCTGACAAAAATATCAATGTTAGTAAATATGACTATTATTTGTCAAATAAGGCTTGATTTAACCCTAAAACTAGGAAAAAAGCTTCAATAAGTAATACATTTTAACTCTAACACCTAAGTTCATCAGTAAAAATCAAGTTAATGGTACTTACTTGATACGAACCTGAAGTGAGTGGGAGTGTCGGTAAGAGCCGCGCGAAACCGAAGTTAATTTACTTAATTAGCAATATGTTGAAGATGAGCCAAATTAAGAATACTTCTAACCAACAAGCATGCATCGATATATATATGTACTACGTACTAGATATTGCGCATTCCGAACATACACTATGTTCAACAGAACTGTACTGCAATCCGTACAGTGTGTTATTTAGTGTGGTTTCAATCTACTAATTAGTCTATGGTTTCAATATTCATGCAGTGTGGAGCGGCGTTAATAATACAAGATTTCAAATTAAAGTTTAAACCTGGACGTAAATAACAATTCAAAAGTAAGTAAAATTATTTGTTGTTCAAGGGAATTAATAGGTAATAATATCGTAATATTACAAAAGAAAAATCATGAAAAAAATATAGGTATTTCTTTATATAAACTGACCGCGCAGGAGCAACGCTCTTAAATCATATATATGTGTACTACTCTATGCGGAAGACATAGAGTAGTACACATTTTTTGTTTAGAAAGGCTTCTCTAGTAAGTAGTACATATAACTCAATGCAAGCATGTATGCGCAGATATATGGATGTGAGAGAAGCGAGTGTCAGGATCATGTCAAAGGTAAGTTCGTAGTCTCTGCCTACTCCTTTGGATGACGAGCGTAGAGTTTACACTATATTATTATTTTTGATTATACTTACGTGCTATTGCCCTCATAATGGCGGGTGAACCTGGTGGAGTATCCTTAGCGACGGCTACTAGCTGTTTCACGCTGGACTCGTCGTCGGACGGTCGAACTGTCAGAGTATGTCGGAAATCGAGTGGAGATGAAATCGTGTCCTTCTTTAAGAGTTTTATTTTGCTAAATTTGCCTGTAAATAAAAAATGTTTCACAAATTGTATTATAAATGCAAAGGTATGACTTTTTATAAATATGAATAAACTAAACTAGGTGTATGGCTCCTTCCTCTGCTAGGAATCGTGGCAATCAGTGGAGCCTTTATAAAAAATAAATTTAATATAAGTAAAGAACTGGTTGGTAGTTTATAGGTGGTCTAAAGCAAATTACCCTTCCGTTTGTTGGGCTGCGGCGGCTGACTATGCGACATGTTGCTGGCGAAGATAAGAATGTGGAGTTCTCTTGCAGCCAGGTCGATCTCCCGCATCTCCAGCTCCCTCTCCTTTTGTGCTAGGTTTTGTTCGACCAGCCTCTGCTGTAGTTGGGCTCGAGTTAGTTCTTCTTCCCGGCATCGAAGCTCCTGTAATTGTTAAGACAGAATAATAAATCAGTTACTTAAACAGAAAAATTATAATTTACAACAGTGAAAAGTCTGCCGGATATACGACAAATCCCACTTGTGCACCATATATCCGATCCGTAGTGTAGTATTCGAAGTGGATATTACACTATAGATCGGATATACACTTAGTGCACAAGTGGCATTTGTTGTAATTGTTTAGAGATATGAGGAATTGTGATTTATCATTGTGAACTATCGACACATGCAGCCAACTCGAACAACGAAGGCTAGTGGCATCTCAGTCTACTAGCATGGGAGGTGTTCTGTAGACAACAGAGTTATCAAAGGTTTCAAGCCCACCTGCCATCAACAATTTGCTTGCAGATCCAACAAATAACGTAATAAAATAAATTATATATATATATATATATATATATATATATATATATATATATATATATATATATATATATATATATATATATATAATAAATTGTAATAAAATTTAAGTGGCATACGAGCTAACACTTCACCTGATGCTAAGTGGTTACTGCAATCTGATGCTAAGTGAATATCAGTCACTGCACAAGGAATACAGGAGATGTTAATAACCAGATGCAGCCTGTAATGGCTGCTTGGGGTCAAGAAATAGTTAAAGACCTCCCTCTTTTAACTAACTTCCTCTGCTAACTAATTCTGCCGTATGGATCCAAAACCCAAATCAGACAACATCATCTGATTTCAACTACTACTTAAATTGTATCCAAAAATATATACAAAAAGGTGCAAGTAAGAAAAAAGGAAGTGTGTCTAGATATAATTAAAGTATATTTGGCGGCTCTGTGGCGCAGTGGCTTAGCAATCAGTTGTTGCGCTGGGGGCCGCGGGTTCGAATCCCGCACGGAACAAGTATTTGTATGGCCTACAAATAATTGTTCCGGGTCTGGATGTTTGTCCTTGTGCAATTTATGTTTGTAAACTGCCTCCACGACACAGGAGAAAATCCTAGTGTGGGGGTAACGTTTTTTTTAAATAATAATAATAATAATATATATTTAAAATATTCCTGAAGCATATATCCAAATTTTTATTATAACCAAAAAAATAGTGAATATAATATAAACTTTGTGAATGCCAACAAAATAGATTTATAATAATTATCACAATTGCTACTAACCTCCTCAATAGTTTTGCATTCCTAAGTGCAAGCATTGTGTATAAAAAAAGCATTTGCATGTTAGTTTGGACACATTACATATTATAAAGTATTTTTTTTTAATATGGTACAAAATAATTTAATCCATATGAGAAAAATATATTAATTTTTATGACAATTTTGTCAACACCCAGTATACTCGCGATTTATTGTTGCAGACTTTAGAATAACTAAACATAGGTAAGTAGGACGAAACAAAGTTAATCTTATACTAAATATATAAAATAGCCCAATAGTTGGACATAACTTTCATTTTCAGAATTACAGAGGTTGGAAGTATCAATCACGCTGCTCTAATGGGATGAGGTAGTTATCACATCTCAGAAATAAGTGGGTAATCAATAATTAAAATATAAATTAACAATGTCTAGTTCAGAACCATGGATCGAGTATTTTTCAGGTTGCTAGTGTAGTAAAAACTAAAAAGAAGGGCTTTAAGGCTGTCATCGGTTTTCACCTACAATTTGACAACTTACACAGGTTTCGCGCGAAAACTTTAAAAAAAATTGTTATTATATACATGTATACACATATTATATTATACATATTTTCTTATTACAAGCAGATAAAGTCCATTTCAATTCAATTTTATACCATTGCAAACAATATTTTGGTAAGAATTCTTACGAAGATTACTCCATTTTATAGTAGGTATGTATTTGTATCTTAAACTTTAAAAAGTTGTAAACTAATTTTTAAATATAAATAAACACATTGTGTAATAAATATTTCCAAATAAACGTAGCTAAACATTGTCGATATTTGTAGGGTATTAAACAAAAACTACCTTCTCTTTCCTTCTTAAATCCCTAAGCACCTCCTCAATTTCCAGTCTCCAGCCGTCTTGCATGGTGTGGAATGATTCGTGAGGCGCCCTCGTGAACTCTGACTGGCGGATGTGCTCTAACTGTTCCAGGATCTCGGGGAACAGGGGCCTCTCCCGGGGATTTGAGTGCCAACATGCTGAAATACAAAGCATATTTTTCTGTAGTAACTGTTGCTTTGCTTTGTGGTAGAAGTCATAAGGTATTAAGAGTAACAGTTGCCTTGGGCTAGTGGTATAATAGAGCAAGATCCCAGAGCCCCTCCAGACCTTACTTATTTTCTGATGGATAAAATATATACAATAGAGTAGTATTAGTGTGTACAGTGAACGTATAACATACCCACTAGCTTAGGCCGACGGCCAATTTTCAGGTACCAGGTGCTACAGGTACGTAAAAATTTTACTCACTTTACTTACAGTCTGAGGACTGATTCTTACGTATGTTGTAGGGAATATTGTAAACAATTTGAAATTAATACTGCCAGATACCTTCTGTCGGCAGTATTTATTGCCTGACACTTTAAATATCGAAAGCAAAAAACGCAACCTTACCTAGACTAAGACTTGATTTTTATCTATGATATTTAGGGAGCTATTTTAATATATTTTGTAAGCTGCCAGACCAATCCTTGGGGCCAAATATCCCTTAAGCGTATTTAAAGGGTCTGAGCATATCGGCAGAATTGGCGAGAAGCTAGTTCATCTTCCTTCGGGAACCCGTGTATTCTGGTATCTCGCCAAGGCTGTTCAAGGGAACTTGTCACCTATCTCTTCCATCTCTGCACAGAGAGGACGACTCACTGGCTCATGCCGAAAAAAAGAAAGCCGATTTGTTAGGCTCTCTCTTTGCATCCAATTCGACTCTCGATGACGGGAGCAACACACCGCCTACTATCCCGCGGTGTGGGTGCTCCATGCCGGATGTGCGGTTTACAGAGTGCTCGGCTCGCAAAGCACTCCTCTCCCTGGACGTCAGTCGAATGGGAATGATGGAGACCCTCCCATACACCTGCCGTGCCAATATTTCTCGGGAAAACGTCGACAAGTACCGGAACAAACTTGTATCTGAATATATCTTTGCTGAACCAAGTCTCGGATTGGAGGCGACTAAATCTAGTCCAGTTCAATCCCCAGAAGACACAAGTTTGCGCATTTACCGAAAAAAGAGCCCCTTTGTCGTATCTCCTCAGTTTCAAGACACCCCTTGCTGCCTCAGCTAGCATCGGAATCCTCGGCGTCGATATATCGAATAGTGTGCAGTTTCGTGTTCACTTGGAAGGGAAGGCCAAATTGGCCTCTAAAAAGCTTGGCGTGCTCAGCAGAGCGAGACAGTATTTCATGCCGGCACATCGCTTGCAACTTTACTAAGCGCAAGTTCGGCCTCACATGGAACACTGTTCTCATCTCTGAGCCGGGGCACCCCAGTGCCAGCTCCTTCCACTTGACCGCATTCAGCGCAGAGCGGTTCGAACCATCGACGACCGACTTCTTTCTGATCGACTCAATTCACTGGCGCTGCGTAGGGATGTTGTATCCCTTTGCATTTCCTATCGAATCTACTGCGGGGAGTGCTCAGAGGAAATTTCAGGCGCCAAATTTCACAAGTGTCAAAATTCACGATACGATCCTCACCATCTGGATGCTTGGCGGTCATCACTGTGTGTTTTACTAGGAGTTTTCTTCCTCGTACAACTTCTCTGTGGAATTGTTTACCACCGGCGATTTTTCCGAACCGATACGACTTAGGGACCTTCAAGAAAAGAGTTTATTCCTTTCTAAAAGGCCGGCAGCGCACCTGCAATTCCCCTGGTGTTGCGGTTGTTCATAGGCGGCGGTAGTCACTTACCATCAGGTGAGCCGCATGCTCGTTTGCTCGTTTTTTATAGAAGAGGGGGCACTCTTCTATATAAAAAAAGATTTAGGTTTACATAGACTACCGATAAATGGTGATGTAACCATTTCGTTTACGCCATAGGAAAAATACCAAGACCGGTCAGCAGCGTTAAAGTTTCGAGACGTCTGGTACTGCAGTATATACTTGGTGACAAAAAGTTCAGAACGAAAGCACATATTGACCCACACTACAACACTCACCTTCCATCAGCACTCTCCAGGGTTCCGGGCACGTGCTGGGTATGGGCAGCGTGAGCTTGTTGACCGCGACCCCGTACGCGACCGCCAACGCGTCGATACCCTTGTAAGGAGTTTCCCCGGTCAGCAGTTCCCATAGAAGCACTCCATACGACCACACGTCAGAGGCGTGCGAGAATGTCGAGTTTTTTATCACCTGAAATGGACATAGTAAAAGGACACAGTCGTCAGTATGTGATTAAAATGTGTGCTTAGACGCAGGACCAACAGCTTGACCTCCTGAGTCCGAAATGAAGTGAATAACGGAAACATGAGCTAAACAATCTACCTAGTGGTGAGCGGCTATTGTAGTTAATGGATACTTGCAACCAATATCAAACAAAGAAGGTTATTACAGGTGCGTTTGTCATCTCTGAGGACCAATTAACTTTTTAGTTTATACTGGCTCTCCACAGACCCTTCAAAGCTTATTACAGTCGTGCACGTACTGGGTACTACTTAGCGACAGAAGTAAGAGGATCGAGGGAGGGAGGAGATTCGAAGTGTAAATTGTGTAGTAGTAATCTCATATATTATGATATATTTTTCGAAAGTTACTGTTTTTACAAATAAAGGTAATATTTCTACTTTGTACATAATAACATACATAAACACTTACGCCTGTCACCCAGAGGGGTAGGCAGAGACTACGGACTTCCATTTGGCGCGATCCTGACACACCTCTCTCGCCTCTTTCACATCCATATATCTACGCATACACGCTCGTCGGTTAAGGGTACTCCTAATCTGGCCCATTTTCAATGTATCGCCGATCTGGTCGATAAACCTTCGTCTAGGGCGTCCCTTCCCGACCCTGCCGTTCACTTCTGCAACATAAATTTGCTTTGTCACTCTTTCCTCGTTCATTCTTTCTACGTGACCAAACCACCGAAGCATTCCTTTCTTAATCCTTGTGACAACGTCATCTTGCAAACCACACTTTTCTCTTATTGCACTATTTCTCACCCTGTCATTCAGATTCAGCCCTAGCATACTCCTTAAGGAACGCATTTCTACAGCATTTATTCTACTCTCATGCTTCTTCTGCCAGACCCAACTTTCACTACCATACATTAAAGTCGGTACTAACACAGCATTATGAATTGCCATACGTGCCTTAGTTGACACATTCTGACTCCTCACAATAGCGTGTAGAGCCCCATTCACTCTATTTCCTGCGTTCACTCGTCGTTCTATATCCTTATCATATCTACCATCCCTGCTAAATAAACATCCCAAATATACAAACTCATCCACTTGCTCAATCAACTCCCCTTCTATTCTTATTTTACATAAAGTTTTACTTTCTTCTCTTTCAAAAACCATCACTTTCGTCTTACTTGCGTTCACTTTCATACCCCTTTCTTTCAATGAACAATTCATTAAATTAACCATCATTTGCAACTCGGCCGCCGACGATGCAAATATGACTTGATCATCGGCGTACAAAAGGCATTTGACGGTTGACTCACCCATTCTCAACCCACATTCTTCAACTTTCAAAGTTTGCAAACAACTGTCCATAAATAGGTTAAACAGCCACGGGGAAGCCACACATCCCTGTCTGACACCTTTATGAATGCCAAACCAGTCCGAGTAGACCCCGTTGATCCTGACACAAGCACTAGAGTCCCTATAAAGAGACCTTAATGCCTGTATCAAGCCAGCGCTCAACCCAAATGAGTTCAGTGTTTGCCATAACACGTTCCTGTCCACTCTGTCATAAGCCTTTTCCAAGTCTAAGAACGCACAAAAAACTTTCTGGTTTTTAGCCAAAAACTTCTCCGCTATCATGTGCATGGAAAAGACTTGATCCGTACACCCCATCCCCTTTCTAAATCCAGCTTGCACATCCCAAATTTTTCCTTCAGTTTCTTCCATAACTCTTTCAATTAACACCTTAGCATACAGTTTACCCACAATGCTAAGCAAGCTGATACCACGGTAGTTTTTACAGTCCTGCTGCGACCCCTTTCCCTTATATATTGGGACTATAACGGCTTTGCACCAGTCTTCCGGTACCCGTTTCAGTTCCTAACATAAATTAAACAAGGTGTGCAGCAGGCCTGCAACCACACCCTCACCAGCCCTTAGCATTTCGAGTGATACTCTATCATATCCGGCTGCCTTACCTGCTTTCATGCTTTTCATTGCTTTCATTATTTCATCTACACTTATCTCCCTACCTCTCTCCACTTCTTCCGGAATTTCTATTTCACTTATTTCAGACGACTCTTCACTCTTAAACACGCTTTCAAAGTATTCCTTCCATCTCTTTAAATTCGAAACTTCATCATTCAGCATGCAGCCATTCTCGTCTCGTATAGCATTCATTCTAGGCTGTTTTGAATTTCCCCTGGCAGTTCTTACGAGCTTCCAGAACATTTTAATATTTTCCTGGAAGTTATCAGATATCCTTCTATCATTTTTATCTATCCTTTCTTGCTTTTTCCTTTCAACAACTTCTTTTACTCTCTTATTTATACGTCTAAAGTTTGCCTTTTTTCTTTCAATCTCATCATTCATACCGCCAGAATTACCAGCTTTAGTTGCTAGTAAATCTAGCCATGCTCTCTTCTTTGCTTCAACTTCCATCCGTACCTCATCATCCCACCACAACGTATTACTTTTCCTTTCATTCGTTCTCTTACTTACACCGCATACTTCGGTGGCTGCATCCACCAAAACTTTCTTAATATTATTCCATACATTCTTCAATTCTAAATCATTCATACATAATTCATTCAACCCACTTATATTTTCCCTCAGTCTGCATTTATACTTCTCTTTCACACCTTCATCTTGTAACCTCTCTATTCTTATACGCTGTAACGCAGTGGTAGACACCGATGTCCGATGCCGCCAACGTCTGAATAGACCATTAATTCGGCATAAGACCAAGTAATGATCCGTCCCTACGTTGGACCCCCGGTAAACCCTTGTATCTACCACTGCGCTCCTCATTCTTTCATCCACAATTATAAAATCTATCATGCTTCTATCATCCCCTCTTTCCCATGTATACATGTGAATCCTCTTATGGCGAAAGAAAGTGTTCGCCACAAAAAGATTCTTTTCCACACATACGGTGAGGAGGTCTTCACCATTCTCATTTATTCTTTCATCGCCAAACGTTCCTAATATCCTTTCATAACCAGACCTCTTCACTCCCACCCTTCCATTAAAATCTCCTAACATAATAATATTTTCATTTTCCTTACATTTCATCAACACCAGCCTTACCATGTCCCAAAACTGCTCTCGGATATAAGTGGGCTTAGACATATCTGGGGCGTACACCCCTAGCACAAACAACTTCTTTAAGCCCACTTTCATTCGTATCCACAGCAGCCTTGGGCTAACACATTCATACTCTTTCACACATTGACCCATTCTTTCTGAAAGGATGACACCGACTCCCTGGCATGCCCGCTCGGTCTCGTCTACTCCAGACCAGTAAGCGGTATACATGCCATGTGCAGTGACATCTCTTCCCTTTCGTTTCGTCTCGTTTACACATAACACATCTATTCCTCTATCATTCATCATTTCGCATACTTCATCCATCTTATCATTCATTGCTCCACATACATTCAGCGTAGCCAGACGGGCCTCCGCAATCCACTTTTCGCCCCTCCGGGAGACAGGACGTGACGGGTGGCGAACCTCGTCGCCGGTTTTTCTCCCGGAGATTCTTCGCACCCCTGCCCCATTAAAGGGGCGCCGGGAACTCGGGGCCATTTCTTTTTCTACTAGGCTCATGGTGCGAACTAAGGGGGTGGTAGATTTTACGCCGCTACCCTACGGCGAGGAGCCGAGTCTGTCGTTTCGGCTTCTACTTTGTTCTACCGCGTATAATAATAACTGAGTGACAAAGCAAATTTATGTTGCAGAAGTGAACGGCAGAGTTTATCGACCAAATTGGCGATATATTGAAGATGGGCCAGATTAAGAGTACCCTTAACTGATGAGCATGATGAGTAGGTATATGGTGGATGTCAAGAAGGCGAGAGAGGTGTGTCAGTATCGTGTAAAATGGAAGTCCGTATTCCCTGCCTCTCCCTCTAGGTGACAGGCGTGAGTGTTTATGTGGTTAATTACCCGACTACCCCAGAAGTAGGGTGATGTTTTACGAGAGTATATACATATGTCTATTTCTTTGGAATGTTCTGTAGCGTACGGCTTGATGGCTTTTAAGTTTTAACATATTATGAATGTCATTAGATTCGTCGTAGTTGTGGAAGCGTCAGAGGCTATAAAAATTTTGTCATTTCAATTAACTTTTTTACGTAGTCGGGTGTTTTTAATCACTGTTTTAACCTTTAAGCTTGTTATTGAGTATTATTGCGACAACATAAATATCGCGATATTGGAATGCTGCTAATAAATAAAACGCGGATATTTTAATACGCCCGTTGTTAATGCCGGCGACAACTCCGCACCGTGGGAAACAGATAGGTTACTGAGTAAGTAATCAGTGATCGGTCTAATACTTCGATAGTTTAATTGGATTTGTAAACTAGATTGGAGATTAGTTTATAAAGGTAGTGTGTGTGATACCGACCTGTCCGAATTCAATTATAATGTTTTGTATAGACTAATTAAAATTATAATCTTTTGCTATAAATGTTAGGATTTCTCTTGGGTTAAAGTAAAGAACACAACCACCTCAGTACCCCATATCAAACCGTTGATGTCGTAAGAGGCGACAGAAGTAAACTAAAACAGGAAATGGGCAGTAGCATTTTTTTGATGACAACTCAAAATAATAAAAAGAACTGCGGTTACCAAGCGCTGCAAGTAATACCTATGACCCACGAAATAAATGATTATGATTATGCAACTATATAAATTATCCCTTCTATGAGACAATCTATGGGGGAGGTCTGTGAGCAGCAGTAAACTTTTGACAGGCTTTAATGACGATAATGATGATGAAAGTGAAAGCTATATATATATATATAGAGAGTTATATTGTCACCGTAATTTTCGCAGAAAAAAGCAAACGGGGGTTCGAGCCTTAGAACCTTTTAAGGAACTTTAAGGACGAAATTTTAAGTCTTTTTTTATAGGATAAGGGTGACAAGCGTCTAGTAATACGTGTAGAATATTTCAAGGACAAAAGTTCGCCAACACTCACTGAATTAATTGCCTCCATATGGCAATATAGAAGTAATAAGGAAACGAATCTAATGCAAAATATTTGGTCACGCGGTCGTAAAGATAATATTATCTTTAGTTAGCTCTACAAATTAATATTTTAATGTACCCACTTTATTTAATTATTTTTTTCTTTTTCATTAGCCTATAACAAGTTGCGTACTTTTAATAGACGGATTAAAAATAAATGGGGTATTTGAAATTTTCCTTAGTACACTCAAAAGGATCAAAAAATTAAACTTTTATTGAAGTTTAATTTTTTATAGAACATGATTACCTATAACCACAGATCGTGGTAGCTGAGGGGCTAAAGCGCTCGCCGAAAATTTCGTAGAACGCGAGCAAACCGAGTTCGATCTCCGCTGTTATGGCTATACGAGGGCGGCACTGAAACTTTCGGGAATCAAGTAAGTGACACAACATTACTATTTAAAAATGTATTTATTGCTTTTCGAAGTATTCTCCGCGAAATTTGACACATTTTTCCAAACGATGGAACCAATCATTGAAGCAACCATTCCATTCGGAAGTTGGGGTCTCCAAAATGGCCATTTTGTAGGCGTCCACAGCTTCTTCAGGTGATGAAAATCTCTGTCCACGCAATTTATTCTTTATTTTAGGGAAAGTATAGAAATCATTAGGGCTTAGGTCGGGGTTGTACGGCAGATGGTCTAATAATTCTGTTTTCTTGCTCTAAAAACTCTTTAGTTCTGTGTGCGGTGTGAAAATTCGCATTGTCGTGATGGAGGATGATGCGGCGGTTGCAGTTCTCTTTACGGAGTTCAGAAACGACCTGTGGCAAACAAATGCTAGCATACCATTCTGCATTAACCGTTCTTTGTCCCTCAAGAGGAATAATCGTAACATGGCCGGTTTTGGAGACAAACGTGGCCACCATTTTTTATGCAACACTCCGTGAACGAACAATTTTTGTTGGCTTTAACTCATTTTCGAACACCCAAACTCGTGACTGGTTTTTTGTTTCGGGTTCGTACGCGTATATCCAGGATTCGTCACCTGATACGATGTTGTATACAGCATTTGAGGATCCTGCGTGGAATCTTTCGAGAGTTCTGACGCACCAAGTAACGCGAGCCGCTTTTTGCTCTTCACAGAGCGAATGCGGTATCCATCGGGAAAACAACTTTTTTACACCTAATTGTTCAAGCAAGATTATTTGTATTTGACTCATGCCAATGTCTAAAGTTGCCTGAATTTCGCGGTATGTCACATGTCGATCTTCCTCAATCAGCTTACGCACAGCATCAACGTTTTCTTGGGTGACTGCAGTTTTTGGACGACCTTGACGGGGATCATCACTGAGCTTGACACGTCCACGTTCAAATTCAGCAAACCAGCGATAAATTGTGGTTTTGGATGGGGCTTCATCACCAAATGCAGAAATCATCCGGTCAACACACTATTTTTGTGTTAAACCACTTCGAAAGTCATAATAAATCATCGCTCTTGAATTTTCTCGAGTCAATTCCATTTTCTCAACGACTAAACAAGTTTGACAAAACCTTGTGACAAGACCGAGAATCTTTTTTTAAATAAATAAATGGTATTCGATTTTTAAAACCAAGATCTTTTCAATCAAAAAAAATTTAATATGACGGGAACAGTGGAAATATTCCATTCCCGATACTTTTAGTGCAGCCCTCGTAGCGTTAAGGAAGCCATGGGTTTTATTTTTGATAATGTATACTGTACTGACAAAAATTAGGATACTTGCGGAGTTTCTTTAGCCGTTTCTTCTGCGGGCAGAGGAACCTAATTAAAAACATGTTTCTTTTTTGAATATTTTTTATTCAATATTGATTATTACATAATACTTATTGAAAGTAATTTTTTATTTACCACTGGTTCTGGAAAACACCCCAGTCCTGGGAAGAACCAGCAAGAAACCCAGCGGGACTTTTTTTTTCAAACATATTTCACTTAACAATAATTTCATTTATACAATTTTTAAATGATTTTTCATAGAACCAGCATGGTGGCGATCACCTTATTCCCAGGGGTTATTTTCATTCATGTATTCCTTGATATTATAATAACCCTTTTTGTACAGTTTTTCTTTAATAAAACTTTTAGACTTGTTTATTGACAAACTTTGAATATGTTCTGGGATTTTGTTGTAAAAGCGTATACATTGCCCCATAAATGAATTACTGATTCTGTGGAGTCTAATAACTGGCATTACAAGCTTATGTTTGTTCCTAGTGTTTAAAGTATGTACATCCTTATTCTTATTAAAACTATTTATGTTTTTATGCACATACATTACATTCTCATAAATATATTGCGATGCCAAAGTTAATATGTTTATTTCTTTAAATTTTTCTCTGAGGGACTCTTTACTATTTAGGTTATAAATCGCCTGTACGGGTCTCTTTTGCAAAACAAATATAGCTTCAATATCAGTCGCATTACCCCATAGCAAAATTCCATAAGACATTTCGCTATGAAAGTAACTAAAATACACTAATCTAGCTGTCTCAACATCTGTGAGACTTCTAATCTTTTTTACAGCATATGCTGCAGAACTAAGTCTGCTTGCTAATTTAGATATATGGGGGCCCCATTGAAGTTTTGCGTCAATAGTAATACCAAGAAAAACAGTGGTATTCACAAGACTCAACTCCTCCCCATTTGAGAGCACATTGGCATTCGAATGTTTTACATTAGGTATTGTAAATTTAATACATTTTGTCTTATTGACGTTTAAGAGCAAATTGTTGACGTTAAACCAATGTACTAATTTCGATAGAGCATTATTTACATCGTCATAATTAATTGACTGCCGTTTGAGTTTGAAAATTAAAGAGGTATCGTCAGCAAATAATGCTATATCGTGATTGTCCCCTACAAGATAAGGTAAGTCATTAATATAGATTAAAAACAGGAATGGGCCAAGAATCGAGCCTTGGGCATCTCCTATTGAACGTAGGAGTGGCCACAATCGCCTTGCCTAGTACGTGGATTGGCGATTAAAGTGCAAGATGGATCGCATCCGTACCTTTAATGCTGCCCCCGTCGGCGCGGTGGTCTGAATGGGTATTTTACATCTGATATATAAGATATTTACGATAAATCTTTTCGTTACGTATACCTCAAAATGATTTCTAATATTTACGCGTACACTACACATTTAAATAAAACTAATTTTACGGATTTTATCGCGTATGTTAACTTATTTTTTATATTCCCGACGTTTTGGGTGCTTTCCAGCACCCGGGGTCACGGGGGACTGAGGTGTTTGACGTCCTGCTGTCATAGTTAACCCGGCTACCTTCAGTTTTTTAAAAGGAAAGCACCCGAAACGTCGGGAATATAAAAAATAAGTTAATATACGCGATAAAATCCGTAAAATTAGTTTTATTTAAATATACCTCAAAACTTGAAAACAAGAGTGTACAACCAGTGCATGCTCCCAGTCATGACATATGGATCTAAGAAGTGGTCCTTCATTGCTGGCTGTATGTGGAAGAAGCTCAAGGTAATTGCGAGCTATTAAGTGAGCTACTCGGGGTATTTCTGCGCCAATGAATTTGTAATGAGGATATCCACAAGCCACCTCATATAAGCTGAAGAACATACAACCGATGGAAAGGTTCTCCAGTGGCAGCCTCGTACCGATAAACAAAGTGTAGGGTAGCCTCCCACTAGATGTAGTAACGATCTAGTAAGAGATGCAGGGCCTAAATAGATGCAGGTGACTCGGGACCGTGTTTTGTGGCATTTTTCTTTTCACTGGAAACGAGGCACTCCATCGCAGTCTTCAGGGGTGACAACGCATCTGCATTTTGATTCTTAATCGAGGATAAATGTACATGTCTATGGGCCACTACCTCCACTTACCATTAGGTGAACTGTGAGCTCGTTTGTCACCTTTACTCTATTAAAAAAAAAATCTTGGGGGAGGTCTATGTACAGCAGTGGACTTGTGATGGACTGTATCCATGTATTTGATACTAAGAAATCTAATGATTTTCTTTCAGGATTCTCATAACAAAAATATGAGACTTAGAGAAAAACATAATGTTTCAATAACAATTAATGTAAATTTAATAGGTGCAGCCTGACTCTACCAAGTATGAAAATATATACCTCGGGTGGCATCCAGGCGTATGTTCCCGCAGCAGACATCCTCGTGGTCTTGTACACCTCGCGCGCGAGTCCAAAGTCTGTGATCTTGAGTGTCTTGTCTTCCAATGTGTCCTCCGGCAAAATCGTCTCGCTCAGTAACACTAGAACAAACAGATAATTACAATTAATCATTTGATTGAGGCATAAATAGTCAACTACAGGCCTTGGGTCTCTCTTACAGCTGGGAGCGGTTTATGCAACCCTCAGTTTCGGCAGGCGGATTGCCGAGCGCAGCATTTTACGCTGATTTTCGTCGCCGGTTTACATCTTTCATATTTGACGTACATAAATACGTGATGGTTTTACTGTCATCTATTGGCCACGTGTTTTTAGGCGTTTCCATTAGTCGACTCTTTCAACGCTCATGGGATGAAATGGGGTGATAGATACCTTAACTTCACCATCACACGTCTTAATTAATAATAAGCATAATTCTCGTTGGGGACTATTGGACAATAAAAAATCGACATGACGAGGAAACTGTATGACGAAGCTGTCGCAATTTTTTTTATAGGATAAGCGTGACAAACGAGTACAGAGTTCATCTGATGGTAAGTGGTTGCTGTGACTCATACACATCTACATCCATCCTCGATTAGGAATCAAAATACAGATGCGCTGTCACCCTTGAGGAATAAGGTGGAATGTTTCGTTTCCAGCAAAAAGGGTCTCAGGTTCAAAAAGGGTCTACATTCGTCATACGAAACACAGCAGCGTTAAGGTGCTATTTTACGCTGCAATAAATTACAAAGACGTTATTTTTATGTTTGTGAGCGAGCAATATTACAGCAACGTTAAAATTAAAATATGAAAACAATTGTCAAGATATTATAATAATGTCATGTTTTATTTATTTTATAGCATAGAGCAACACAGGCCACCGGCGGACCGGAAGGTGGCGCGTGTTGTTATTGAACAGTTTCGATCCCAGTGTAATGTATAAAACGAACTAATAGCTATTTAAAAAAAAACGCCCAAAGGGGCATTACGTCAATCATCGAAAAACTTCGACATTGACAAACGAAAGTGCGCACGTAGGTGTCCACGTGGGTCGAACCAAGAATTATGTATGACCTGAACGGGTGAGGGGTGTTATCTAGGCCGACAGCTAGACTTAATTAACGATATAGGTCCGTTATATCAATAGCAGCTTAATTTATAATTTTAAGTTTGATTTCTAATTTCTATAAATTATTATGATTAACCTTTCATTTGAGGTCTAAGTGGTAAAAGTGAGCGGTTAATCAGGGGCAGTTAAACTGTGACTTGAGTCAAAATGGTTGCTTTTACAAGTAGCAGCTGTTTGTCGTTTAATTACAGCACCAGCGATACAAAATCGCGCTTCAGACTCGATGAGATTCAGATATAGGACCCAGCACAGTAGCCTGGTACTCTACTAGCAACGTCTCTTTTTATATTAACTTGTTAAAACATATAAAAGGTCAGATACAAAGTACAGACCTCTTTCCAATTACTGTGAGGTGCAATGGAAACCAAGAAGGAGGAAGAGAAATGTCAAATATTTATACAGGTCACTATATAGAGAAGTCTTCTGTTCTTAACATTAACTCCATTGTAGGTTAAAGTGGAAGAAAATCGATTTAGTTATTGAGGGCGATTCGCCCATTGGTCGGGACTAAAATAGATGTGTCGACCTTCAAGTGTTTTAAGTTAAAATAATCGATGAGAAAGCCGTGTGTTTAAAAGCAATATTTTAATTTATATGTTTAACGTATATTTAGGTTTTCTATTTAAAGGGAATTGTTCATGTCTGTAATCGGCCTATTATTTATTTGCCTTTGTGTCGAACTACCCACACTGTGATTATACGTCCGATATGTCGGTGGAACAATATTGCAAACTTGACACTTATTTTACTGCTTTGTAGTTTAATGTTTACGACTTTTTTCATTATAAGTTACAAATATGTTATTGAGTTGTTACAAATCTTTATATATATATTGGTCACAAAATTAAAATTGCAAACGTTAAATGATTTAAAAAAGTCTGCAGTCTTATACGTGCCGCCTTTCTTACAATATTTTACTCTACGTGCAGTTACGTAGAGCAAGATTTTCATGAAAATTTAAATATGTTTTTAAAAAATCTGCAGTGTTATACGTTCGAAATTATTGTAAATTCAAGCTGTGTAAGATTTTAGGATATTCCGGACTAAAATCTAGAATTACTGGTGACAGTTTTAATCATGAACGTTATCATGAATTAGGCTAGTCTGGAGGAATTTATATTCTGAAAGTTTAAATATTTAAATATAGATAAGTGTGTCTGAGATTGGTTCTCAAAGAAATTTAAGTGAGAGCTAGATTTAAAAGTTTGTTTGTAATTGAAAGATCCTAAAACAATCAGCAAGCAGTAACGGATCACGCGTGTGTATCGTAAAGTTACGCACGAAATAAAAACTAAAACGGATCCGGGATGACCTTCGCAAAGCACCGCAGTGTATTTCCCGTAACGTACGCTAACGTGACTTGTGAACGTAAGCGTTTACGATTCGTCAAAAGGTCTGCGCACGAAATACGGGTCCGTTGGCAATAAAAAACGTTGGCTAATTAAGATATTTGGTTGGTGGCAAAATAGAATTCAACTACCCCATGCCATACCATGGAGATCGTAAGAGGCGACGCGACGGACGGAAATGAAACTAGGCAGAAACATCTGCCTAATAAGAATGGAAATGTCATAAAAATTGCGGCTGCCACCAGCCCGACTGCCAACCGGGGTTACTGTGGCTAATTTCCACCTATAAGGCAAACTATGGCGGTGGCCTATGTTTAGCAGTAGCCTTTAGGATTTGATGAACGAATGAAGTATATTTCAGTAATGTAAAGAATATTGATGCAGGTTTATTAAATTTATTTTAATTTTAATGGATTTGTTATATTTACGCAAATATTCCCATTTAATTTTAATGATTTTATCGCATTTAATTATAACTTTTTTAATTGCTGACGTTTCGGTCACTTTACAGTGTTTGTGACGTCCCGATGCCATAGTTGACGTTGCCTTCGTCAACTACATACTTAGAGTAATTACATACATACATTTGCATAGAGAGAACTTATACAATTTTACATAAATTGAATCAATATACTTGTCTCGCTTTTACTAATTTTATTTTCAAATAGGGCAAAAAGAGACAAATCTATTGAAAAATTTTGTGTGTAATAAAAGTAAAAAATTAGTCGCCCCCCAATCCGAGACATTGTTGAGCAAAAACTCGACTTCAGACACAAGTAACAAACTTGTTTGAAGATTATACAATGAAAAAAATATTATAAGATGAAGTTATAGCTCCATTAAGTTCCTATCTTATATCTACAAAATCAAACGAAAGTTATTAATACAACTACTGAATAAAGCACGATAAGCGGTTTGTAAATGAAGCCACAGTTGAGGCGATTCATACGTCAATCAAAGTATCACAATGAGGAATGAGGCGCCGCGCCGGTATTGCTACTAGGTCTGCCATAAAATTTGTGTAAACCGGGATATTTGGAATAGAAATGTGGCATACCATTGATAATTAGAATAGTCGTTTAATATTACAGAGTATTACGTATTGCTTGATTTTGTTTTTTCTCATTTTCAACGTGGTAGAGCCATGCTGCAGCTATATTAATAGTATATTTGTAGCACGAATGGGTTGGCTCGACCGGGGAAGGACCACGCTCTCACAGAATACCAGCGTAAAATAGCAGCTTAATGCTGCTGTGGTTCGTATGGTAAGTGTAGAGAACCGATGACCCGTTTTACTGGAAAAGACGCATTCTATCTTAGTCCTCATGGCTGACAACGTATCTGCAATTTGATTCGCAAACGAAGATAGATGTAGATGTCTATGGGTCACAGCAACCACTTACCATCAGGTGGACTGTGTGCTCGTTTGTCACCCTTATTCTATATAAAAAAGAAACATAATGATTTCTATCTCTATGCAAACACTACACATTGAATAAAACAATTTTTACGGATTTTATCGCGTTTAATTTACCATTTTTGATTCTCGACGATCTACCACATCTATTGTAGTCGTACTACTAAAAGGAGAAGACACTAACTTCTATGATACAGAATCACAGTTTTTACGTGGTTTAAGAGCCTGGGTTCGAAAGGTTGGGGCAAATAAAAATGTATTTATTTATTTATCAAAACTTAACATTCTAATTTTAAAGGCGTAATTCTCGTAGTCACTGCCACTTTCTTTGCTTGTTTTGTCCATTTTAAGCAATTGATTGCGTACCTATCATTATAATTAAACGTAAATATTTCTATATAAACATTTTATTGTCTATATTTTATAATACTTACTTAATACCATAATATAAGACAACGTTTCAAACCCGGACATGTCCCGGTGTGCCTGAACACATCGTGGCAGCTCGTGCTACACGGACATGACGGTCGATTGTGACATCGAAGCCTCAATGGGGCCCAAATGACGTTTCATGGCTTTCGTCGCTAATGCGTTGGGCGACATACTGGATTTGACAGCATAAGTAATGAATGGTTATTAACGTCCACAAAGAAATAGGGTTTTTGGCGTGATTTTTTTATATAAATAAAATAAAATTGCACAAAATTCGTTGCTAAATTAATCTTATTTGTAGTTTTCCATTAAATGTAATATATTTAATTTTCTGAAAAATGAAAAAAAAAGCTAGTAATCGGGGAGTAATAACTGTTTTCTTGCTCTCCTGTAATTTTTTGAAAAATTGAGGTTCGCCCGTTTGCGGCGTCAACGACGAATTGTTTGATCAAAACGGAAATGGTATGTGGCAAAAACTTAAACTACCAAAAATTTGAATATAGAATGACAACCCTTTTAATTTATAAGTATTCGTGGTATTAGTATTACCGCGGTAGCTTATGCGTCAGAATCGGAATAATACATTTCATGGATTATTTTTTTATATTTATCCATTACAACCGATTAAAGTCCACTGCTGGACATAGGTCTCTCCCATAGATTGCTTCATAGAGCGTATTTTTCCATAGTTGCCACGCTTGGGAGGCGGTTCGGCCACAGCAGTTTTTTTTATGATATTATAAAATTAAGTTCACATATTATATGTCCTAGTGT